TGTTCTAAGAACCAGTATGGTACATTGGTCTGACTTGGTATAAAGCAGCTTCTTACATTCCATTTGCTTCAACAGCAGTTGTGTTCCTTTGTTCCCTTGTGCATGAACCAAAAGGTGTGATAACATGAGGAATTTCTCCTTGCGACTTTAATTTTAAGAGTCTTCCGCATGGCCCAGTTAATCTGAAAACAGCATCTTCCAGGGAACTACATTTTGGTTAATGGGATGCTTGACATCTGCAGCCTAGCAGAGGTCTGCCAACTGTGTATTTGGGGCCTGGCAATGTACATCCAGATGAAGCCCAGCGTCGCCCAATCACAATGTGCCCATTTCCCCAGTCTCCAAAGTTGTAAGTCTGACAACAGAGTAGCACTCAACCACTGGCACATTATTATTATTTTTTATAAAAACCAACCAACAAACAAGTTGGAACGCTGATCAAATAGTGGATGGTTTTGTTTCACTGACCTACTTAATTAAAAAAGCAGTTTCTAAAAATGGAAACGCTGTTTGATTTAATATGAAGATGGAGCTGTGTTTTTCCAACATCTGTGTCCAGAAAGGAAGAAAAATCCTGTTTTTACTGGCCTTCCTCCATCAGTCTTTTTTTCATTTCATGTCTAAAGCACAGTAAGTTACATAAACATTCCATTTCTTTCCATAAATTGGCTCCAGTTTCTGAACAATAGAGTCACTGTGAAGAGGAGAAAAACCACAGACACACCCCACAACTGCTGGTCACACAGCCAAAGAGAACTAAAGAGACATTCTTTGAAAGTACCAAAAAGGAAATCCATGGTCTTAAGGCAAGACCTTTTAATGTTATACTTGGAAGTGTTCCTTCTTTCCCCCTACTTGGCTTTCTTCATCTTTGGCTGTCTAGTGCAGAATGCTTGACAGTGCAAAAGAAAGAAAGAAAGGAGGAAGGAAAGAGGGCCTGGAGACAGAATATTATTCTCTTTTAAAATGTGTTGATAATAGCTGTCAGTATTCACTAACTTCTGAGTGGGGAGTGCCAGAAATTTCAAGCACCTCACAATATGGGGAAACGATTATGAGTGGATTTAGTGCAAACAACACTGTTGAGGCTGCCCCTAACTGGCTGCCCATAATATTTTAGCTGTGGAAAATAGATAAGCTGTGTTTGAAACATGAAATATTAGCAGTGTATAATGACAGCGAAGGCAAAGTAAGCCAGAGTCGTATGATTTTCAATAGAGCGGCGTTAAGAGAATAGTTAGGAAAGAAATAAAGATCTTTTCTGCAGCCATTTTTATATACTACTACTACTACGAATAACAACAATAAAGTTTATATTATTATCATGATCACCATAATTTAAAAGTGCATAAAGTAGTAGGAATCTACAACTAAAGGTCTTAAGGACAAATCCAGTTTTCTGCTATTTAACAAATTGTTGGTAATAGTCTCTCCTTTTAAAAATCCATAATGAATAGTCACTCTCTCGTAACATTTCTCAATGCTACCTTATTAAAAATTGTTCAGGGTCTAATTAGAAAGTTACCACCAGCTGTTTGTAAGGAAAACTATCTCATGAAGGCTGACTACATGTTCTGTAGCCTACTCTCTAAAGGCAATATTCTCTGCTGCCCAATATTCTCTCACCCCTGCTTCCTAGCATTTGCCTCCTGAGATGGTTGCATCACTCCGTGCAAATATTTTTAAAAGAGGGTTAAATATGCTTTGAGATCAGCAGTTGATGAGCTCTTGGAGGAAGAGTGAGGGTGAACAGAGAGTGATGATGACGAGGAAGAGCAGCAGCAGCAAGGAGGGACAAGAGGCTCTGATGATGGACCTCAGAAATAGGCCTCAGCAGATGCCATCCTGTGGCACCAGCTGGGGTGAGCAGCGTGGAAGTATAATGAGATTTCTGGAATCAACTCCAGCAAAGGTCCCGATGCTGTTTGCTGTTGTCTGGGTAAATGCAGCCTCAGGGCTGGGGCACACTTTAAATCCACCACATGGAAACCATTTTAAATTGCTCTATGTGGGGACTGTGACCACATGGTGAGCAGGTTGTGTGTGTGTGTGTGTGTGTGTGCGCACGCACACCCAGAGACTGACCATGTGGATGAAGTCTAGATGAAATTCTCTCCAAGCCACTTTTTTATTTTATTATGGAGGGCACAAATTGTGGTGGTAGGGAGGAAATTGCCCGATCCATGTGGTGAGCTGCTGCACGCGAGCGTGTTTGGACAGCTGCAGCGTGGAGTGATTTAAAGTAGCCTCCACAACACAAGCTTTTGCCCACATTTAGTGCTGACTTGTAGATTAAAGGCCTATTAAAGGGTTTGCTAAACTGAAATAACTGTTCCTTGACAGGAAAAGAACTACTCTCAGAGATAGGGAGTGGGACAGGAAGGGTGTTTGTAAACCTAACTCATTTACATTTGAATTTTTCTGTAACTTTCACAATTCTGTCTATGCTATGCTAGAATTATTTTTGAAAGGAAAGGGGGCTAAGAGCTAGAGGGAGGATAGGCACACATACCACAGACCCTCCAAGCACCCCTATTTTCCAGGGACAGTCCCTGATTTACAGAAACTATCCTGGTTTCATTTGATCCCTAAATGTCCCACTTTTCCTTAGGATGTCCCTATTCTCCTCAGAAAAAATGTTGGTGGGTATTGAGTTATGCAGCCCCTGAGCCAAGGAGATAAGTAACTATGCAACCTTTAGAAGACACCTGAAGGCACCCATGTAGAGGGAAGTTTGTTTTTAATGCTTGATGTTTTATTATGCTTTTATATATGTTTGGAACTGCCCAGAGTAATGCAGTCAGATGGGCGGGGCATAAATAATAAAATGATGATGATGGAATAGGACGTCCCTATTGGAGAAATGTTGGAGGGACATGATACCAGTCTCTATTTCTTTCGGTTTCTCATTTTCCCAATCTTAAATTCAGTTAGCCACATTCCCACACCAGCATTTTAGCATGCATTCTTCTTAATACGCTCAGGCCTGTATCCAACGTAGTGCTCAGTAGCCATCCCCTCTGTGCAAGGATTTACCCTATGCACAATGAGCACATTAAAATCTGAACCATCCTCAAGTCTCTCTTCAGGTGTTATAGAAGATCGTACGCACCAACCCCTGCCTCCTCCATCTCCAACTTTGCAACGTCTGAAGGGGGATTGCAAGCTTGTTTGCCTGGACAATGCATACGTATTCAGGTACTGAACTTGTGACAGATGAACATCTGTTGCATTTTAGACAGTTATCCTGGGTTTAAAAACTCTGCACTCAGTCTTACCTCCAATTAAATATTTAAATGCACACATTTAAATATATCCCTCAGGGTCTGGGAGATCCTCTGTTCAAATCAAGAAGCAACTGGCCTACCAGTCTCAGAAGCATCTTCAGTCTTTTGTCAGACAATGCAAGATGGCATGCTATAATAACAGAACAGAAACTCTGGCCGCTCTCTCTCTCTCGCCACACTCTCTCTCAGTGAGGATCACTGCCTCATGTCTTCTGTGTAGGGTCCTTCTCCTTCTCCGACCCTCCCCATGGCAAACATTTTGGGAAAATGCCACAATATATGAAGGTATGGGACACAACAGCAGGGAACTTTCCCAGAATAATGGAAGTGATATTAAAAACACCTTTAACGGAGGCAAGTTCAACCCCCTGTTAGGACTCACATTTGTAGTAAGCAAGAAGGTTAATGTGTTCTCTGCTGCTTGCCTAATTGCTTCTTTATCCGTGATATCCAACTTTCCAGCCCCTGAGTTAGTGTCTGAAGCCAAAATTATCTGGACCTCGCACAGAACTTTAAGCTGTGGGAAAGCGCAGCTCAAAATGGCTGCTATTGTTTTCCGGTAACCTTATACTTAGCGTTTAATATCCTCAGCAATTTACAGAATGCTCAGGATTCCATTTTGGCTCTTTCGGCTTGGGAAATCCCAGGCTAGACTTCAGTTACCTTTTTTTTCTTTCTCCTTTTTTGCTGTAACACTGTAAGATCAAATGCTACAAAAGAATAAATGTGCTAAGCACAACACACCTCAATATGTTTGCAGAAATTGCTTTTCTCCCTCCTCCTTTGTATTTTAAAAGACACATTTTAATTACTGAGGCAGATGAAAAGAACAGAAACTATGTTGCTTGCTTCACTGACTGCTCTGTTAAGCAGCATGTTAAATCTATTAACGTGAAATCCAAGATGTTAAAAGGGCGGTACGAACCGTACAAATGGAACAAAGGACTAGTAAACTTAGTCTGCAGTCCTAGGCACATTTTCCTAAGTGCAAGCCCCACTGAACTATACGGGACTTGCTTTCAGGTAAACGGGCATAGGGCTGTACTTTTGCTGTCAATGTTTTGATTTCCAAAAGTGACTTGTGAGCAAAAAGAAACAACAAACAGAAGAGGCTCTGTTCTGTTCATGGAATGTTCATGGTCTGTGATGTTGCCATACAGTTCAGGAACATTTAATTTTACATTAGTAAATAAGGTTTAGAAGAAGAAGAAATCACACTTCTATTCCCAAGCTTGGTAACAGTTATAGATACAACAAAACCAATACCATAATACAGGTAAAAAGTATATTGTAACACACATTTTTGTCTCTCCTGCCCCATTTCTAAAACTGAAGTGGTATTTTAAGGGACAGGAATCAGTTATTCACCATGGGCCTTTGCTTAAGCCAGTCTTCCCCAACCTGGTGCCCTCCAGATGTTTTGGGCTGGTGATGATGGGAGCCATAATTTAATCTTATGAACAGACGTGTGTTGGGGGGGGGGTTTGCTTGTGTAATAGTGGGCTTCTGTGAGGAGAACAATCATAGAATTGTAGAGTTGGAAGGGACCCCAGGGTCATCTAGTCCAACCCCCTGAAATGCAGGAATCTCAGCTAAAGCATCCATGACAGATGACCATCCAACCTCTGCTTAAAAACCTCCAAGGAAGGAGAGTCCACAACCTCCCAAGGGAGACCGTTCTGCTGTCAAACAGCTCTTACTGTCAGAACGTTGTTCCTGATGTTTAGTCGGAATCTCCTTTCTTGCAACTTGAAGCCATTGGTTTGAGTCATCCAGGGCAGGATAAAACAAGCCTGCTCCCTCCTTCATGTGACAGCCCTTGTGATATATGAAGATGGCTATCACATCTCCTCTCAGTCTCCTCTTTTCCAAGCTAAACATACCTAGCTCCCTCAACTGTTCCTCATAAGGCTTGGTTTCCAGTCCCTCGATCACCTTGGTTGCCCTCCTCCGCACACGTTCCAGCTTGTCAACATCCCTCTTAATTTGTGGTACCCGGAATTGGACACAGTATTCCAGGTGTGGTCTGACCAAGGCAGAGCAGAGCTGTGCTATTACTTCCCTTGATCAGGACATGTCTCACTGCTCACAGATAATATGACGCCACATGATTTTTGATGGTGCTTCCCAGTTCCTTCTGCGATTGGTCATCAGCCCTTGCCAGTGGAGGCCTGGGATGGAGGTAACACCTAGCAGGTGCTATTGCAGGCATAGTTTTACACTGTACTAGCTGTTGGGGTTGCAGGAAAGGAAACTATCACAATATTATCCAAATGAAGTGATGTGGAAGGAAGTGGCTGCCTGAATTGGCAGAGACCCTGAGGCACTGCCTCTGAGGTGTGAATTGTCCCATTAATTTTAATGCATGCTAACTCAGATGCCAGCTCTTTAGATTAGCATGGCCCTGGTTAACTGTTTCACTCCTCTCAAATAATGCACGGCAGAAAAAGGGGTGCAAAGGAGAGTGACAAAAGAGATCCACAAGCAACAAATTAGGGGCCATGAAAGACACAGGATTAATGTGTTCACCCATAAAATTATTCTGAGGGAAAACAACAATTAATAGCAGTAACTCAGTAACAATATCATGCTTATTGTAGATTAAATTTGGCCTCTGGAGGAGGCATCCTGGTAGCCCATAATTTGCACGCATCTGTTAACTGTGGGCTGTCTGGTTTTGGGCCCACAAAAATTTATAACAGCAGCAGCAGCAGCAACAGCAACAACAACAACAATTTATTATTTATACCCCGCCCATCTGGCTGGGTTTCCCCAGCCACTCGGGGTGGCTCCCAACAGAATATTAAAAACACAATAAAACGTCAAACATTAAAAACTTCCCTAAACAGGGCTGCCTTTAGATGTCTTCTAAATGGCAGATAGTTGTTTATTTCCTTGACATCTTATGGGAGGGCGTTCCACAGGGCAGGCACCACTACTGAGAAGGCCCTCTGCCTGGTTCTCTGTAACCTCACTTCTCACAGTGAGGGAACTAGCAGAAGACCCTTGGCACTGGACCTCAGTGTCTGGGCTGAACAATGGGGCTGGAGACACTCCTTCAGGTATACTGAACTGTGGCTGTTTAGGGCTTTAAAGGTCAGCACAAAAACAAGCACAATAAGCACAAAAGAGAATTTTATTGTTCTGAGTCAGTCCATGGTTTTCCTTGGCCCCATGTGACATTAGGGCACACCCACAAATTGCCAGCTTTCAATAATAGGGTGACTAGTGTGCCAAATTAGGGAATACCTCTAAAGCCTATATGGTAAACTATCACTATGCCTGATAGCTAGGTTGCTGCACAAATGTGACACTTCTCCCACAGGAGCTGTGCTGATTCTTGATTTCTTTGGAGCCCACTTTAAGATTTTATTTTTGACTGATAAGGCCCTAAACAACTTGGGACCTGCTTACCTGAAAGAGAGCATCTTCTTCAATATGAAACTGCCTGTTCACTAAGAGCTTTGGATGAAGTCATAGTCTGATTTGGTCCACCGGGCAACTATGAGAAACAGGGCATTCTTAGTGGTGGCACCTACGTAATGGAACAGTCTCCCTCCCAGGCATCTGTCAAGCATCCTCAGTAGTTTGCTTTCGCTGGCAGTTAAAAACATTGTTTCCCTGAGCATTTGCCAGATCTTTATTTTTTCCTGCTCAGTGATTCCCTGTCTGCTGTTTTATTGTATTTTTCCTGGCACGAGGTAAATGTCTTTGGCCAGAGCCAGAATTTCCAATGACTTTAAAGTAGTTTGTGTGGTCCAAGTAAGAAAGAATTGTGTTCTTACTGTTATCTAGATGAGTGGTAAGAGGTAGTCTACTAAGTATTTTAATTTTCTCTATGATTACCCCTTTCCTACCATGTGAATATATTTTGTAAGGGCTTAATATGCTTACTTTCATAAATTTGCAGGGGTTTTGTTTTTGCACAAGTGGGGAAAATTCTTTAGAGGGCTGGAATGCACTCAGATATGTTGTTATAACTGGCAGCAGTAGAATTCAAGTTTTTACAAATTACTTTTTTATTGTTCTCCACAGACCCTCCTCACCTGCCACTGCCAGTTATGCAAGCAACAGACACAACAAAACCTTCAGAAATGCCTGCTGGGGTGGTTCCCCTCCTGCAACTTGGTGTGAAAATACCAGGGATTTGGGGATTTTGAGTTAATTTATCTTGGTGCAAACATGCTGGAATTACATACCATTTAGCAAAACAGAAATTTCCCCAAGTGCAAATACTTTGCAAAAAGTCTAGTAAAACAGAAGCTGGGTTTCAAATGGCTTGAAGAGGTGGTGTGAAAGTAGAGGAACCATCAAGCTGTATAATATTAACAATGAGTATCGCATTCCGTTTAAGGTGAGGCATAGTGAGTGTATCATATTGCACTCATGGAGTGGTACGTACACACACACACACACACAGAGAGAGAGAGAGAGAGAGAGAGAGAGAGAGCTTTTATAAAGGGCATTGGGCAATCTGGTCCTAGGAATCAGTTACAGAAGTATGCAGAGATTTGCATGCCTGAATGTTAAACCTGAGCCTTTTCCAGTCAGCAAGGCAGGCAGAGTCAGTGAATTTCCCCCCTTCTGATTGCCAATAAATTAACCTTAATGCTATTAAATATGGTCTGGGCCTGTTCGTGCTAGCCTCCCACACTCTGCTTCTAAGAGTGCAATCTCCCAGGGGGCATCTGGTTGGTTAGTGTTGAAAGAACAGAAGGTTGGGGTAGTTTGAAACTTTAGTCTGAGCTAGCAAAGCAGTTCTTATGCTGTTAGGAATCAAAATAGCACACAAGATGCTACACAAAGGAGCTTGAAGAAACCTTTCCCTTCCTCTCTCTTCCCACCATTGCCCTTCACACACCCCTTTGTCAGTTTGGGTGAATTGCCAGACAAGCTACTGTAAGTAGATGCTTCTGCAATAGTCATGGAACTAGCAGAAGCCAGAACCAGCATGCGAGGAGGAAAAATGTCAGAAATAATTTCTGAATTTTTGCACTTCCTGAGAAAGAAATAAACTGAAAGACAGCTATACATCAAATGGTACAGTTCTCCGGATTTTGCAATGCAGTTCTCCTACCCAAAAATGGCTGGTTCCAGAGGGCTGCTATCTGCCTGTACAGATGGGCGAAAGGACGGTCACTTGGCAGCAACCTCCTTTGGCCGTGCCAGACCCCCTCTCTAGGGTGGGCCTTGCCTGCGAGGCCAATCAGGGCAGGGGCACGGGGGATGGGTGCTGCCTGCTCCTGCTATGCTTAAGAGGATATCATGTGTAGGCCACCCTCTTTGCTGACTGTTATGGGATTTTTCACCCACCCACCCAGTCCATTAGGGGCCCTCTCATTGGGGGAGCGGGCAGGTTGGTGTAAGGACCTTGCTATGGTTTACTTGGTCACCATATTTGGGGCCAGGGATGAATTTTCTCCTGCGAGCTAATTGGCCAGCTTGCAGGTTTCCACCTACCTAATGGCAACCACTGCAACCTTGGTGGATAAGGCATTGGACTGGATCTTTAGCCCAGGAGAGGTGACTCTGTCTGGGAGTCCACACAGGGACCGATGGGCCAAAACACCTCTCCAAATGGTGGCCTATGCAGGATCACAGCACCTGATCCGTGTTGGGGGTGACTCTGCAGCACACGGTTGACCCCACTTGGTTCCTATTGGGGAGCATGCAAGCTGCATCAGCCAAACCTATTCTTACCTGTAATCAATAAAGTTGTGGTCTAGTTCAACCCAATACCAATCTCCTGTGTGCATTTCCTTGGTCTTCCCTGCACTGGCTGCAGACATCATGCATCTGCGGCAGCAAAGGTTGTCCCTTGAGACAGATGCCCAAAACCCATATTAGCGCAGTAAAAGTAAAGGACCCCTGGACAGTTAAGTCCAGTCAAAGGCAACTATGGGGTGCAGCGCTCATCTTGCTTTTCAGGCTGAGGGAGCCGATGTTTGTCCACAGACAGGTGTCTGGGTCATGTGGCCAGAATGACTAAACCACTTCTGGCGCAACAGAACAGTGTGACAGAATCCAGAGTGCACAAAAACGCCATTTACCTTCCTGCCATGATGGTACCTATTTATCTACTTGCACTGGTGTGCTTTCGAACTGCTAGGTTGGCAGGAGCTGGGACAGAGCAATGGGAGCTCACCCCGTCTTGGGATTCAAACTGCCGACCTTCTGATCGGCAAGCCCAAGAGGCTCAGTGGTTTAGACCACAGCGCCACCCGCTGTCACATTAGGGCAGTACCTTTATTAGGCCAGCTCCAAGTAGGGTTGGTTGGAAATTCACATTTAGAGACGGATCTATAATACTGGCACTTTCCAAACCGAGATGAGAACCGAAACACAGTACAGATACAGAGTGTGAGCTCCATACCTACAACTACACCTGCCATTCCTTCCTTCTAAAGGTTGTGTGAGGATCCATTTGAGCTTGACATCATATGTACCACCAATTTAGTCATTCTCCTTTAGTGCTAAATGAACATTTCAGTAGTACTAGCAATGTTTTTCTTGTGCCAGTAGAAGCCGATGTCGAGGGGCTGATCTGCACAGCCGCCTTGAAATGACTGTGAGCTGCAGAAGAGCACAGCAGATGGGAGAGCGATGTGCTGCCTTATTAAGAACCACATCCTCAAGCCTAGCAGTGCTTGTTTTTCTTTCCCGTCTCTTGGTTTTACATTGCAATGCACATATGTACCCTGCTCTCCCTGCCTCCTCGTGCATAACACGATGTTGCACTGCGATAGCTTATTCTGGCAAGGGCTGGAATAGTAAATAGGCAGTTTTTATTTTAGGTGTCACAGTTCATTAAGAACGATGTCAAGAGCTTATTCTTTACCGGGCTCGGCCCTTTCAGACATTTATCTAACAACGCTATCTGATCTTAGATTACATTTGTGTTGCTTTGAATAGCAAGCTGCCTGTTTTACATTTAAGCCTCATTCTGTAAACACAGTGTGTAGCGAGGAGCGTTCGGCAGGCTCCCTCGCTTTTTCAGTAATGCTTTTCATGCGCTAATCATTCGGGCCTTTCGCACGCTTCTCTGCCAGCCATCAGAGGAAGGTGGAGTGAACTTTGTGAGCCAAAGTACATAAGTTGCTTTGAATGTAGCGCTAAGGATAAGGTTCCGTCAGTGCAAGGATTTTCCTTCTGTGACAGAGCCTTCTCCCCCCCTCTGCACACACTCTTGGTCTCCAGAGTTGTAGACTGTGCAAGGAGAGGTGAGGGAGGAAAATTTCCATTGTGATAAATGGAATGCTTCGACTAGCTTCCACTAGTGCAACAATTTAGTTGAATGCAGTCCTTTGCTAGCCAGGGTAGCTTTCTTTTGCCAGTTTTCCACGTGTGATATAATCAGCTACTTGTCATCCGTTGTTTCCCAACACATCATGATTATGTGCTCTCAGGTGTGTTTGCTTGTCCACTGGCCTGCAAGCGCTCCAACTGGAGAACAGCCTTTACCAGAGGTGTCATGGACTTCGAAGATGCTCGAACTCAGGACGAAAGGGAGAAACGTGCAAAGAGGAAGGCATGTTCGGCAAACCCTCACTGTGACCAACTCTCACCCAGAAACCTATGTCCGCACTGTGGAAGGATGTATGGACCCAGAACTGGCCTCCACAGTCACTTACGGACTCACTGTTAAGGCCGTGTTTTCATGGAAGACAATCTTACTCGGCTATGAGTGATCGCCAAAGAAGAAAGAAGAACACTTGTGCCCCTTGCGTTCCAGCTCTCTCTTGACCTGTTTCATTGTGCAGAGCTATATGGAATCTCCACTTAGAAGGCACTTAGGGGCAATTGTGGTGTTGTCCCACTGTGCCTCACCATTCCATAAAAGACTAGGGCTTTAAGAGAATTCCCAGCAGGGGCTACTGGAAAATCCCCCAGGGCATACAGAAATCTAGCTTGGGTTTAGATCCGGTTTGGGGACAGATCAGGACAGATGGATGACCTTCGTTTGGAGAGGAACAAGAAGAGCGCAACTCTATTGCTTCTCCTGGCTCTCTCAGCAGCTTTAATACTATTGACCGTGTTATCCTCTGCACCATTCCCATGAGTTGTGGATTGTGGCCAGTATTTACACCTGTTTCAACCCAATTTACAAAGTCAGCTCCAGAAAGTAGTACTGGGTGACAATTCCTAGACCCCTTGCAGTTGATTTGTGGGTTTCACAGGGCACGATTTTGTCCCCAGTGTAATTTAATACAAAAATGAAGCCACTGGAGATTTGGTACACATGTCATCAGGATGCTGATGCTACCCAGCAACCTATAACGGCCAAATCAGGAGAGGCCATGCACATCCAAAAGTGATGCCTGGGTGCAGTCATGGGCTGGAAGAAGGCTGTGTCTTCATGTTGACAAGATGGAGGCCTCCAAGAAAGGTCAGTTCCTAGGTTCAGGAATTGAGTTGTATGCTAGCTCTGGAGGGAGGGCACCCTCTGAAGCAACAAGTACATAGTTTGGGGCTTCTCCTGAAGCCATCACTGTCAACAGTCTCAGGTGGTTAGCAGCTTGTCAGCTGGTGATAATGTGGAAGTGGTTATTCTTGATAATATCACCCACTGCCTGGAACACCCTCCCTTGGGTAATTTGTGAGGCAGAGGCTGTAATGACCTCATAAAAATTCACGTTTACCCAGGTTTTCCTAGATTCTGGTTCTTAATTTAAATTTTGTTTTATTTTGCACACTGCTCTGTTTTATTCATAAAACATAGTTGCATTTTGTTTCAATGTCATTCTTTGGAAATGGTATTAAATGCTGTTGTACTTTTATATTTTATATATTACTACATGCCCTTTACCAGGAGGTCCCAGGGAGGGTTACAGCAATTCATTATTTAAAACATTTAAAACAAATTGTTGTCATAGAAATAGGGTGTGTCCTGAAAACAAATACCTCAGCTATCAAAGGCCACTTGTGGAGATGGCAGTGTCCTCTCAGGGTTGGAAAGCAAGTCCTTTGTTGTCATGTGTTCAATAAACCTTTGTTTCAGCTTCTTAAAAAAAATTCCGTTGCAATCTGAAAGATGAGCAAAAGTGCCACCTTAAAAATGCAGCAAAGACATGGACTTGCCTTCTGGAAATCCACTAGAACACCAGCTTCTCTGAACACGTTTCTAAAGCAGCACAAGTAATTTCTATTTGGACAGGCTTTTGAGGGTCCACTGGTAAGAGAGAGCATATTTAAAATTTAAAGTGACCAACCTGTCTCCAGAAAGAAAACTCTTAGGAAGTTATTAAATTTTAAAGCCCGCTTTCTGCCGAACAAATAATCAAATATGTATGCAGACAGCAAAGGGTCATATTCTATGATCCCCAAATGTACAAAGCTCCTAATGCAGTTCTAAGATTTCTTCAGCGAAATGCAAAAAGGAACAGAATTTCTTCCAAATCTTGCCTCAACTTTGGTCTACTTATTTCTTGAGTTTCTAAGAAAGCCAGAGTGGTGAAACAGTTCGGGGGTTGGAGTAGGATTGGGGTGACCAAGATTCAAATCCCCACTCAGCCACCCCCAAGGATGACCTTGGACACAGCTTTCAGTCTTGACCATCTCGTAAAGGTATTGTGAGGATAAAATGGGGGAAGATCCATATAAGCTGCCTTGAACTCCTTGGAGGAGACCTGTGAAAGAAATGTAGTGAATAGATAAACAAGCCTGGTCTGAAACACAGGAACAAATAAATGTATATGTAAAGAGACAAATGGCTACCGGTATGGGTTTTCCTATGTGTCAACTGCAGTATCTGCATTAAAAGGCAGATTATAGATGCAATCTAATGTGCAGATTTGGGACTATGAAGCCCTGCGTGGTCAGAGTGTCACTGAAAAATGTTTACATATCACTTGAGAAGACAGGCAAACTAATGTCAATGTACTGGAAGAAGCAAAGATCATCAGTGTCGAAGCAATGATTCTTCAACATCAACTTCGTTGGACTGGTCGTGTTGTTAGCATGCCTGATTATTGTCTTCCAAAGCAACGACTCTATTCCTAATTTAAGAATGGAAAGCGTAGTGCTGGTGGGCGACAAAAAGGGTTTAAAAATGCTCTCAAGGCAAGTCTTTAAAAATGTAGTATAAACACTGACAACTGGGAATCATTGGCCTGCGAGCACTCCAATTGGAGAATAGCCTCTACCAAAGGCGTCATGGACTTTGAAGTAGTAGGAACTCAGGACGAGCAAAGAGGAAGGCACGTTTGGCAAATCCTCACTGTGATCAACTCCCACCCGGAAACCTATGTCCCCACTGTGGAAGGATGCGTGGATCCAGAATTGGCCTCCACAGTCATTTACGGACTCACTGTTAAGACCGTGGTTTCATGGAAGACAATCTTACATGGCTACGAGTGATTGACAAAGAAGAAGAAGACACATGAGTTTTCTACATGAGTTCTGCAATCAGTAAAGATCAAGTGGAGATCAAGAGTCCCCTTCCACAGAATAGTACGGTAAATGTTGGCGCGAGACATTCCAGAGCCTTTTCAATGGAGGACTTTTCATTACAACCTCTGTGGCCGAGAGTCTCTTAAAAACAATCCATTAAGGCTTTTATGTGAATTTCACCTGGATGAACCAAACAACAAGGTGCTTGGGATTAGAACAACGAATAGTCCAGCTTTGTTTAAAAATAATTATGAACCAGTGTGGGAAAAGTTATGATAAATCTACAAACTTGCTCTTGCTTACAGCTCTAGGTACTAGGAAGAGTTAATGCAGCTGACACACTTTCAGCTAATACCAAACAAATTAAACTTTTGCATGTTGAAGAATGTACTGTGGCATACAAGTTTTTAGACTAGGACCTGTAAAACCATATGTGTGAACTGTTATTCAAAGGTATCGTTCACAAATGGCAACAGCAAAATAGTTTTGCTTTGCTAAGTTAAACACCTATAGTAGGGCAGAAAACCCTGATAATATCAACAACAACAACAATCTTTATTACGGTCCAGAGACCCAACAAAACATTACAAATCAATACACAGTTCATACAGCCTACCTCCAGGTTAATCAAGCATTTTGTTTAGAATATAGGGCTCATTTGTTCTTGCAACCACCGATAAAAACTTTGCCACTGCCAACGTTCTAGCTTTTGTCCGGTCTTCCAGTAGGAACCTGACATAGTGAGCCTCTGATTTTCCCGGGAAAGGCACCAGCAAGGGTAGTATCAGTTCAGCCCTGGCCTGCTCATACATCGCACAATGCAACAAAATATGATTTATGGAATCGATGTCTTGAGCACACGAGCAAAGTCTGTCCTGGTAGGGAACTCCTCTCAACCTACCATCCAGCACTGCAGAGGGGAAGACATTTAGTCTGGCTTTGGTGAAAAGCCAAATAGTTAGGTACTGTCAGGTTTTTGATGTAAGATGTTAACTCAAAGACATACCCATATTGAACTCCTGCTGCCAGCAGACTACAGACTGCGTGTGATCGAGATCGCAAGTCACTGTGTGCATTGTCCCATAATCTTTGCTTTAAAACCTTTGGGGTGCCTTCATAACCCAGGTAATACAGTTGGGGGGAAGACAGACCAATAGAGGTGGCTTTTTTAGCCATGGTTTTCTGCCATTTGCTGACAAATTCCTCATTGGTCAAATGTTGGTACAGACCCTTCCCTAGATTAAACACTGAAATCCTGAGCCAATGTTTTAGGGCAGCCCACCACGCTCTAGCTGAAATTGGGCATTCACCAGCTTCCAACAGAAGTACGGAGTTGGGGACGCAGTTAGGTACCTGCAACAGAGATCGTATAAATTTTGCCTGAAAGCCATCTAGCTTTGGCAGGTCCCCATTATGCCAGACATTTGCTGCATACAGGAGTTGGGAAACAGGCTTTGCATTGAAAACCCTTAAGGCTGCTGGAACATATTTGCCGCCCTTTGTGAAGAAGAATCTATATATGGCTAGCTTTGTAATCTCCGCCTTTTGAAGGGAGGTTTGCCAATGGTGCTTCCAAGATCCTGTATGATAGAATGTGAGCCCTAGGTAACTGAAGTATTTTACCTGTTCAAGGTTATGGCCATCCAGCACCCATTTAGACTGGGAGAATCTTCTTTCGAAGACTAAAATTTTAGATTTTTCATAATTAATGGATAAACCATTTCCAGAACAGTAATCAGAAAATTTCCTCAACAGATAATTCAAACCCGGTCTGGAACGCGAGATGATGGCTGCATCATCAGCATACAACAACAAAGGGGTCCTTCTCATTCCTATTTTTGGAATGTGTCCATCTGGGTCCATTAAGTTCTCTTCTAGGTCATTTAAGAATAGACAAAACAATGTGGGGCCAAAATACAACCCTGTCTCACCCCCCTAGTCATCTCGATGCTGTTCGATAGCTGTCCCTGTGGACCGCATCGGACCTGCAGTTTGGTTCCATTGTACAGGGCTTTTATAAGAAAGAGAAGTCGTTTGTCCTGCAAAATCAGACTCAATTTGGACCATAGCTGGGATCTGGGGATGGAGTCAAATGCTGATTTCAGATCCATAAAGGCCACGAAGAGGTCTGGTATACTTCTCAGCTAGGAAGGACAGCATTAGACAGTGGTCTGTTGTTGAACGGTTCTCACGAAAAGCTGCCTGGGCTTCAAATAGTATATTATGTTCATTTAGAAAAGTTGTCAGTTTGCTACTGAGGAAACGGGCATACAGCTTCCCAATTATTGAGAGCAGGCTAATAGGCCTGTAATTGAAAGGTACATTTGGGTGGCCTCTCTTAAAGATTGGAACTACTATAGCATGATTCCAGCTATATGGTACCTTACCCGAGTTATTTACTACCGTAAAGAGTGCTGCCAGAAGCGGAGCCCACCAGTGCTGGTTTGATGTAATCAACTCTGCTGGGATAAAGTCTTTCCCCGGAGCCTTTCCACTCTTCAGATTCCCAATTAATGTATGGACTTCCTCCACAGTAACTGGCCTCCAATTAGGGAGCAGTGACAATTCTGCCCTGTCATCCTCCTGTAAGCTGGAAGGGAGGGCGATACTTTTGCATGTTGAAGAATGTACGTTCACTTTGCAGTTAAGCTGAGCTGTGTGCATTCGAGATAGCCATTGCACACATCATAGGGGCCAACTCCTAGGGGCCAAGGGGTCTTTGGCCCCCCCAAATAAAATATTTGAAGGGGCTGCCCCCTCAGTTTGTTGGGCATTGCCATTCAAATGGTGTGTGCGCACTGCATCATGTTCTCATGGGTCAGGAAATCGGCTTCACCTGCTGAGCAGCAACCTGAAGCAGCAGAAGGCAGAGTGACTCCACCTGCTGCTGGTCAGCCTTCTTGCTCCTGATGTAACCCAGCTGGCTTCAGCTTTCTTAACTGGGGGTTCCAGCCTCAGTCAGTTGCTGGAAACAACTGCTTCTTGCTTCTCGTGACCTTGGACTCTCGGCTTTCTTGACCTCCGGATCGTCTTGACTACGTGAACTGAGATACTCCTGACCTTAGGACTGGACTGAACCTTGCATAAGGATTCTGCCTCCAGGCAAGTACCCCTCTGAGACTTTGCTGGCCGGATGGCCTCTCCTGCCATTGAGCTCTGCCATGGCTGGGCAGTACAGAACTACAATACATGTGACTAATTATGCAGGGCTGGGTTTACCTGGGCCCCCCAATATTTTATGCAAGTTGGCACCCGTGCAGATAATAATAATAATAATAATAATAATAATATAATAATTTATTATTTATACCCCACCCATCTGGCTGGGTTTCCCCAGCCACTCTGGGCGGCTTCCAACAAAGTATTAAAATACAGTGGTCTGTTAAATATTAAAAGCTTCCCTAAACAGGGCTGCCTTGAGATGTCTTCTAAAAGTCTGGTAGGTGTTCTCTTTGACATCTGGTCACCACTACCGAGAAGGCCCTCTGCCTGGTTCCCTGTAACCTGGCTTCTTGCAGTGAGGGAACCCCCAGAAGGCCCTCGGTGCTGGACCTCAGTGTTCGGGCAGAACGATGGGGGTGGAGACGCTCCTTCAGGTCTTCAGATGACAGTGCTCAGGCATAGGGAAACCAAACAGCTAATGCACATCAGGCAAAGACTTCTCTGCGCCATCTCTGGTGTGTACAGCAATGTACAAATGTGACTTAAAATACAGGGGGTGGGGGAGGGGAGAACAAAATCACTGTGTTTTAAGCCTCGATTGTGTACCTAGCCTCTCATGCGAGTGAGTTGGCCTGGTGATAAGATAGGCTGAAGGACAAAAATAACCACCATATCAGAAATAACTATTTTGTTGGTCTTGTTCGTATAATCTTATTACTCTGCATTCTGTTACCTAAGTGTACTTGTCTTTATTTATATTATTAATTATAAAATAATGTGTATACCACCTTTCATTTTCAGAAGAGATACCAAGGCGTTTCACAAAAACAAATCACAAGTCCATAGCAAAATGACAATGAATATGAAAATAACCATAACAAATATAAAGCAGATTATAAAAAAATATAGCTATCCATATAGCTCATGCTTTACCAAATGGTGTGGAAAGACTGCTCCAACAGGTCATGCCCCCTCCCCATGTCAGAAAAGAAAAGTGATCTCTGAAAAGGGGTATTTATGTGTGTGAATCCAATGCCATCGCCATAGCAGATCATCCTCATCCATTTGAATGTTTTCCTTCACATGATAACTTCCTTCATGAGTCCATCATATTCCTTCCTCTAACGGCACACTGAAAACAAGCCCAATATAATCAGGCACAGGGCGACTTAATATGTGAGCAGATCCTGTGTAACTTTTGTTGTTGTTGGCCGCTCTGAGTCCAGCTTCGGCTGGGGAGGGCGGGATATAAATAAAATTTTATTATTATTATTGCAGGCAAACAAAGCACTGCAGAATGAAAACAAAGCTAAGTCTGAATAAACCCAAGGACTTAACTGGATTGCATATTTATTAAAACCTGTTGAATTCGGACATAAACACTGGTGGAGTTTGCTGGTGGAGTAAGGAATGTAGGCATGCCTTGTGTGAGGGAGAACCTTTTGAAAAATATGCGCTCGTTCTGTAGTAGTTGAAAAACTCCCAGTATTCTGTTTATGCTCAGTGACAGGTAAAATCTCTCTGTCTTCTTTTGGCAAAGAGCTATAACTACGTAAAACAGTGCAGCGAATTCTTTGCAGCTATTTTAGTAATCCACCAAGATGTATTTCACTCCTCCTGGATTAAAGCCATTATCAAGCCAGTTGTCAGAAAGTATCAAGTGATGAAATACAGATAGCACACTGAACATTTGTTTAAGTTCATGATTACTACAACTATGCTCTGGAAAGCATTGTGGCTTAGGCTTTTAATAAACTCCCTCTAGAGATCAATTACCCAGATTTATTTAGTGGCTATACTATAGTCTGGATTTTTTTTTTATTTTTAAAAGAACCTCGTCTGTTAAACTGAGAACAAAATACTGAATCATTAGATCAGAGATAAAAAATTTCTCTGATTATATATTAAACAATTCCAGTTGGGCCAACGGAACTGTTTAGAATATCATATTACAGATTTAGGCATATTAATATGAATGAAATCAGTTTGCCATCTTCAAATCTTTTTTTTAAAAAAAAATAGATAAAATATGATGTCTCGGAACAATGGGTGATATACAACATTAGTCATACTCCGAGAAAGCCCACTGAAATAAAGAACTTAATAAGAAGCCCATAACAATGAATATAATGAATATATTGAGAGCCAGTATTGTGTAGTGGTTAAGAGCAGTAGTCTCGTAATCTGGGGAACCAGGTTCGCGTCTCCACTCCTCCACATGCAGCT